AGGCAGAGGCAGGTGATCTCTGTGAGTTCAAGGCCAGCCTGGTCTCCAGAGCAAGTGCCAGGACAGTCTCCAAAGCCACAGAGAAACTCTCCCTCAACCCCCCCCAAACCAACTAGAAGTAAGGAACTCCATATTATTCATAAATATATGGAAATGAAATAACGATCTTCTAAGCAATCATTGGATCACAGAAGAGGTTAAAAGAAAAATGTGACAATGTCTGATGCTGTGCTTACAGCTGAATAAAATCCCGTTGAAGTCTACCAAGTTTGTAAATAGCTAATGCCAATTCTTCTCAAAGTCTTTTAAAGAAATCCAAAATGAGAGGAAACTTCTGAGCACTTCTATATAATCATTATTATGCAGATACCAAAGACAGACACTGGCAGTGAAATAAACGAAAAAAGATTCACAGGCCAATATTCTTTTTTTTTTAAATTTTATTATTACTTAAATTTTTTTTTAGTTTAGAAACAATCATATTTTACATATCAATCCCAGTTCCCTCTCTCTCCCATCCTCCCATGCCCCCCACATACCTTCCCATCCTACCCCCTATCCAACCCCCAAGGAGGGTGACACAGGCCGATATTCTTAAACACTGATGCAGAGATTCTCAACAAAATACTAGCAAACTCATGATCAAGTGCGATTTTCTCCTAGAATACAAAGATTATCTACCTTGTATGAGTCAATAAATGTCACATAGTATGTCACATTAATATAGCAAATATAGCAAAGGGCTAACATTATGTGATTATCTAAAGAAATGTGGAAATAGCATTAGACAAAATTCAATATCTTTTGATGATGAAAACTTAATAAGTTATGTGAAGGATATCCGCTGTCAGTTCTGTGTAACATGAGAGAGAGAGAGAGAGAGAGAGAGAGAGAGAGAGAGAGAGAGAGAGGTTGAGAGATTATGCCATTCAATTGAGAAGAAGAAGGAACAGAGCAATGTAGTGAAGCATATGGCACTTCCCTTGGTCATGCACATCCAGGAATGTCTCTGGCTATGTACATCAGGGCCAGGATCAAAGCCAAGGTCAAAGTTGATATACTTTCTCTCAGTCACTGATTCCAAACTGGGGGTGGATGCTCAATTTAGAACTAGAATTCTGAATGGAAAGAGACCTGAACTGTTTTGGAGTTCAAACTAGATCCCATAGAAACTGGTGTCCCATCCCTGCATGCCGAAACTGTTTCTCATCTTAATAGTTGTGATTTCTCTGTCAAAGAATACTTTGGTGTCTTCCTCCTGACAATTCTGAATCTTGTTCTCTTACAAACCTACCACTCCCCAGTCACCAGCTGATGATGGTGTAGAGTCTGTGCAATGAAACGACTCCCAGGGCTCAAAGCTATTGTAAGGGCTTTTCTCTGGGAATTGACGAGTCAGGGGTAAGATGCCAGCTAGATTTTCATTCTGAGTTAAAATACTGAATGCTTATATTTCCAGCTTTTACGGAAATGCTAAGCTGAATTTGAAGGCTCACATTTATTTTTGGAAGGAAGGAGAAATTAGGTTAACAATGGAGCAGGCTGAAAATTATGTGGAAGGCAGAAAGATCCATTAATATTTGGAGTGAGGCAGAATGCAAGCATGCTTGCCAGACTTTCCTGATTGTGCCTTTTGGGGCAAAGGAGAAACAGAATGAAGAGAGAGGGCTGAATTCAAAGCATGCAAATCAGCTGCCATTCCCTAGATAGTATCTACCTTTCCCTATGAAGAAAAATAAGTAATTCTAGACGTTTGTTACTGTAACCTTTTATTTTAGGTATTATATTCTGCATGCAAAATATTATTGTTTTTCCTAAATACAAGAGAGT